GGGTGGGGACCGGAATGCTGTGGGAAAGGATACATCCTCACACAAGAAAGTGCCCAAGAAAGTGTCAACGAAAGGAAAGAGAGGAACAAAGGGCAAATAGGCAGAAGTGGCTGACCAGCAAACTACAGATCTGCTTGCAGAAAATGGGAGGCTGAAAACCAGAGTCCAGCCTCTGAAGTGGAAGAGATAGGTCCAACTAAGTGGGAATATTTTTATCAACTATTTTGTAAATGTGAGTTTTTTAATAACTCTAGCAACATTTGTAAAAGGTGGTGGAAAATCCCACTTCATTCCATTTTTTTAAGTATAAATGACTTTTTAAGAGGTTAGATCAGCCAGGTGGTGGTGGTGCACACCTTTAATCCCAGCAGTTCGTGCAGTGGCGGCTACACAGTGCTGCCAGGATGCCCAAGAGGAAGGTTATTGCAGATGCAGCAGCGAAGGTGGAGCCCAAGCTGTCTGCACTGGAGAGGCAGAGGCAGGCAGATCTCTGTGAGTTCGAGGCCAGCCTGGTCTACAGAGTGAGATCCAGGACAGGCTCCAATGCTACACAGACAGACCCTGTCTCGAAAAAACAACAAACAAAAAAAAACAAAACAAAACAAAATGTTTAAATCATTTGCTGATTGTTTACTGCTTGGTATAACCAGAAAATAGCAGGATATTGAGTCAGGAGAGGCTGTGACTGTCTGGGGGTCACCAGAGAACATTTCGTAGAGGGAGCTAGTTTTCTATCCTACAACAAAGCGTATTCAACTGCAATCTGGAGTCTCAGTTGTGCATTTGTTTCTGGAATATTTTCAGTGATATCCGCTCTTGTGTTTCTAGTAGAACCATTTCCTAAAAAACTACTCCTCAGTCCTTGCCCTGTCAGAACTCTAATGTCTCTGGTCATAGCAGTCCATTTTCCTAGAAAATGCGATAATGTGCTGTGAAATATGGAGACTGAGTATGTACTGTGTAGTTGGAAGTTTCTGTGCTGCCAGCAACTCCCAAGTACCCAGCAGCTGCTTTCTAGATTACCACAGAGGCCATATTAATTATAAACACTGGCCGGCAGCTCAGGCTCTTACCCTTAAATTAGCCCATAATTCACATCTGTTTAGCCACGTGGCTTGGTACCTTTTCTCAGCATGGTATTCTCATCTTGCTTCCTCTGCAGTCTGGCTGATAACTCTCTGACTCCGCCCTTCTTCCCCCCTTAGTTTGGGTTTTTCTCCCTAACCTTATCCTGCCTGGCTATTGGCCGAACAACTTGGTTATTAAACTACTCACAGCGGACAAATCTTCACAGTGTACAGAAGGATCAGCCCCCACAGCAGGACTGTATGTGGCATAAAACTCTGAGTCAGTCAGGGAATTAAAGATTATGAGGTTTGATTGTTATGTGAGGTGTTGAGAAAACCTGCTAAGTTGTAGGCTGGAACATCACTGGAATAAGTTCAAAGAGCAACAACACACGGCTATTTTGGTTACGTGAACACAATAAATGGCTTCAGAGTTTGGTATACAAAACCTTAGTCGTGAAAGAGGTTTTTTTTAAGTGGAAATCATTAATATAAGCATTTTGATTTGATTGATTCATTGCTACCAATCCACCTGGGATTATTTTTCATGTTTAAATTGAGATGCCACAGAGTATATAGCATTTTTTTATAACAATCTTTTTCTAGGCTACATTCTTTTTTTTTTCTTTAAAGATTTATTAAGTATACAATATGCCTGTACGCCAGAAGAGGGCACCAGATCTCATTATTGATGGTTGGGAGCCACCATGTGGTTGCTGGGAATTGAACTCAGGACCTCTGGAAGAGCAGCCAGTGCTCTTAACCTCTGAGCCACCTCTCCACCCCCAGAGTATATAGCATTTTAAATTGCAATAAAATTAACTATCAGAAATTTTTCTTTAAAAAAGCAGCTTAGCCGGTGGTGGTGGCGCACACCTTTAATCCCAGCACTCGGGAGGCAGAGCCAGGCGGATCTCTGTGAGTTCGAGGCCAGCCTGGGCTACCAAGTGAGTTCCAGGAAAAGGCGCAAAGCTACACAGAGAAACCCTGTCTCGAAAAAACCAAAAAAAAAAAAAAAAAAAGCAGCTTAAAAATGTTTTCTGTCCAATGCCACAAAAACCAGTTTCTTTCTTTATGGGGAAGAAAACTAGTTTTCGTTTTCATGCATAATGAGATCTTCTCCTAGAATCTAATACTGCAAGAGCAGACACTACATCTACTTTCAATAAACATCTTCAGTATCAAGTCTGAAGACGTCCCAAGACTAGATGTTTAATTACTGTTTAGGTAGAGCACGAGTCTTAAAAAAGAGATCTGACTCACTGTGATTGAATTTCTCATGCATTCTTTAATATCAAAAACAAATGAAGGTGTACATCTCTTAAGTTTGAAAAAAGTAACTGGGTAAACAACAAATGACCAACTTTCACTTTTTGTCCATTTTCAAGTATTTTGCTACCGATTTTTCTGTCTCCAAGATTCTTCCTCTATAAATGCCATGTTACTTTGATGTAGCACCGCCAAACTCACATGCAAAATACCAATTTGTATTTCATAATGTGAACATTAAACTTGACAAACAGCAGGAAAGAAACAGTCTACAAAATTTATCTGTATATATTCTAACTCTAAGTTAACAATTTGTTAAAACACTCCAAAAACCTTATCAACAACTTATTTGTAAAAAGATGAACAGATCTTTTCAACCATATAGCAGAGGCTGCCTATATCTCACTTGTGAGTAGGATGGCTTAACTTGGTCTTAGTATGTCCCTTGGCCTTGCCCTTAGTGCCAGGCTTGGCTGCAGCTTCCTCTTTGGCTTTCTCTTCCTCTTCAATCAAAGCCTTCTCATAGAGAGATGAGTAAGCACTGGGCATGGTTTCACTGACCTTAGCTAAAAAGTCCATCACTTTCATCTTGCTGGTTTCAGTATAGGCTCTTGGACCCCACAGGAACTGATAGGATGGAGGATCCCCATCAGGGACACGACGGTATTCCAGGTACTTTTCCTGCACTAGCTCTTCAGTGATGAGCTTCCTAACATCCCCAAAGATGAGATGTGGGACCCCATCATAGATTCCTAGCATATTCAGGAAGTGCCAGATCTCCTCTTCTGAAGCACAGTAGTTATTTAAGTAGATCACACTTAGGAGAGGGATCAGAATGCCCCTGTTGGGAAGACCCAGCTCATTGCTCCGACTTCCATCATCCTGGAAATCAAGCTTGCTGATAAGCATGTAGGATTGACCATTGGGCTGGATTTCTTTCAACTCAATGCCAAAAACCATATCCAAGCGATACGAGGCTTTCTTAAGGATCTCAGGGAACTGCTCCTTGAACCTTTTGTTGATAACTTTGAGCATCTCTCCCCTCTTTGCAGGCTGTTTAATTTTGTACTTGCAGAGCATGTACTCCACCAGCAGTCCTGTCTTCCTTGATAAAAGATCCATCTGCATGCTTCCAGTGGAGAGTGGGGCCCTAGAAGAACTCTCGTTCTCTCCTTGGCCCTTTGCACCTTTACCAGACCTTTGGAGGGCCATGTTATTACTAGCAGTAATGTTGGGTGTCTTACCCAGTGGTACGCCAGCAGGAGTGCTTGGCTTAGCATCTCCTGAAGCTTGATCAGCGCAGGCACGTGACTCTCCTTTCTCTGATGCCTTTGCCTGGGCATCATTTAGCCCCTGGGCCTCATCTTGGACCTGGCGACGTTTCTCTCGAGCACGGGCCTTACTCTTCTTTCCTCTGGGCATGATGGCTGTGGTCAGGAAGAGAAATCTGTAGCTTGGGTAGCAGAGCAGGTGATCTTGTCACCTAGATCAGGAAAATAATATGCTATAAGCAGTTTCTGCAGATTTCAGACACCTTGGCTTTCCCTAACATTTCTTTTCCCATATTTTGAGGAGAACACTGTGGTAAGAATACACTGGGCTTTTGTTCTCCTGACTGGCTCCCATTAATTCTGACTTACAGAGTTGCCTGAGTACTCTTAGTTCTAATCATATCCAGAACTGTTCTATTTTCCTTGCCATATGAAAGATGCCTAGGAACCTGGAGAAGAGCTTCAGAGAGCTCAATCTATTGAAATGACTGTGTACAGAGTGCTGAGAATTCTAAAATGGTCCATCCAATGTTCTTTGGTGTCTTCAACCCTACTTGCGGTTCCTTTCCTAGGCTCCATGTTAAGCATAGCACCATGACCCTTCTTTTCACTCGGTCCTACAATATCAAACTAAGAATTTTACCTCTGGGTTGAAATAAGACATGCTGATGGGCTAGGATGGTATCTCAATCCATAATGAGCTTGCCCTGAGCTTTAAACCTAGACTCCATGTGTAAAAAGCAAAGTAAAGTGTGGTGGATTGCACTTATAATCTCAGTTCTGGGATAGAGACAGAAGGATCCCTGGGCCTCTGCAACCAGCAAAGCTAGCCTATGTGCCAGATCCAGGCCATGAAGAAATGCTATCTTAAACACAAGATGGATAGCTTTTGAGGAATACCACCTTAGTTTGGCCTCTGGTTTCCACAAACATGCACTCACACACTGACACACACATATACACATGCACTGAGAAAACACAGATTTCGCACGCACGCGCGCACACACAAAGATGTGAGGAAGATGCTGAAACTCACAGTACTAACCTTACCCTCTTGGGCTGAAAATGCCCTGGGAACACTGACTGTGGCTAGTCAGGACTACATGTCCAGGTCACACTATAGCACCTGGACTTTCAGAGGCCCCATTATTTTGGGAAGTGATTCCCTCACCTTCCTATATCTTCACTGATGTTGGGTACTGGATACCAAGGCTAAAGTGGGCCTATATAAGACCAAGGCCGTTCCTTCTCAGAGAATACTTTTGAGAGGAGCAGAGAGGGCTCTCACTTTACCAGCTCCGAATTCAGCGGCATTTTAAATATCCCTATGCTGTGGGCTAGGGGATTCAGGTTGCATTCAACCAGGATGCTAGCTAGTATCCTGCTCAAACATTTTAAACTGACACCTTTTCTTTGTCTGCATTCATTTTACTAAGTCATGGGAACTGCTGTGAAATTCTTCATATGTATACCTTGTACACTTCATACTTTGCCCACTTCCCTCACCCAATGCTGTATTTCCTCATTCTTTTTCTCCTCATCCCACTTAATTTCCCATTATCCTCTTCTCACCCCCCCTTTATTTTTGAGACAGAGTTTCTCTGTGTAACAGCCCTGGCTGTCTTGGAACTTGCTCTGTAGACCAGGCTGGCCTTAAACTCAGAGAGATCTCCTTGCCTCTGCCTCCTGACGGCTAAATACATTTAATAACAACTGCTTATGCCGGCTTTGCAACTTTACCTCGGGCTTCACCAATGCTAAGCAAACACTATTCCCCAGCTGTGCTCTCTGTTTCTCCCTCCGTTTTTGATTTTTAAAGTAGTTCAGGAGAATATAAAAGTCTCCAGATATGTATGGTTCCTTCTGACCTCCATACGCTGGTCGAGGCTACCACAAGTTAGGCTTCCTCTAACTCCCACCGGCTGGGCTGGGCGTGGCCACCTGGTTAGGCCTTCTCTGACTCCCAAGTGCTAGGCATGGCCACCTGGTTAGGCTTCCTCTGACTCCCAAGTGCTGGGCATGGCCACCTGGTTAGGCTTCCTCTGACTCCCAAGTGCTGGGCGTGGCCACCCGGTTAGGCTTCCTCTGACTCCCAAGTGCTGGGCGTGGCCACACGGTTAGGCTTCCTGACTCCCACGAGCTGGGCGTGGCCACACGGTTAAAGCTTCCTCTGATTCCCAAGTGCTGGGCGTGGCCACATGGTTAGGCTTCCTGACTCCCAAGTGCTGGCCATGGCCACACGGTTAGGCCTCCTCTGACACCCACAGGGTGGGTGTAGCCACACGGTTAGGCTTCCTGACACCCACAGGCTGGGCGTGGCCACCTGGTTAGGCTTCCCGACTCCCAAGTGCTGGGCGTGGCCACCTGGTTAGGCTTCCTCGGACTCCCAAGTGCTGGGCGTGGCCACACGGTTAGGCTTCCTGACACCCAAGTGCTGGGCGTGGCCACATGGGTAGGCGTCCTGACACCCACGGGCTGGGCGTGGCCACCTGGTTAGTCCTCCTCCTACACCCACGGGCTGGGCGTGGCCACCTGGTTAGTCCTCCTCCTACACCCACGGGCTGGGCATGGCTACGTGAAGTTAGGCTTCCTCGGACTCCCAAGGGCTGGGCGTGGCTATCCTAAGCCTCAAAGTATCTCTTCCTTTTGGTTCACTGAGACCCACCCACCACCCCGTGTTGGGCACAGCCAACCCCGTGCCTTTCGCGGCTTTTTCCAGTTCTTTGTTTTTCTGAGGTGGAGGTTGCAAGGGCCGCCTCAGGCATTTAAAAATCTGTACAGAAATTGCACAAGTTGGTTCTCTCGTTCCACCATTAAAGTTTTACAGACCCAGCGCACATTTCACTGACATTAGGGTTTTTTCTCGTGTTTTTAAATTTTCCCCCCACAATTATGTTTACATCTCTCGTTTTTTTAAACATTAGCTCCCTATCTTGAGGTGATTAAGTCCAGTCCACTTCCTTTGTTTGTGTACTCTCCCTGGGGCATTTTAGAGCCCAGGGCCAGGACAGCACATTGTGGACAAGAATTCGGTTCAAAGTTCTCTCCTTACCATTTAGAAGCCAGAGCTTGGCTTTAGCTGTGACCTAGGAAGCCACCATTTTCAGAATCAGGGTTCCTTTTTAAGACCAGGGTCCCTACTTCCTCCCAGAAACATGCAGAGTTACAAGACGACTCACAGTTTCCCAGGGCAAGCCTGCTGACCTACGGGCGAGAGCGAGCACAGCTCCTGCGGTTATTATCTGCTCTTTGGTACACATTCAGGGTCCTTACCTTAACCGCAGACCTCCGGCCGAACTCGCCAGCAGCTGGTCCAGAGCAGCAAATGCGGCTTCTCTGCCACGGGCACTAAGACCCAGTTCCTCCCCTCCTCACAGGAAGCAAGGATAAACCACATCCGGTGAGGGGCTGGCTCTGAAGATTGACAGCAGGCCTGGGTTGCTATGGAACCCCTCTGCTGTGGAGGCAGTTTACAGCAGAGTCTGCTTTCCTCACTGTGCTTCCCTAAGACACCTAGCCTTCCCCACCCCACCCTTTCCTCCGTCTAGTGCACACAGAGCTTAATTCTCAGCCTCTGAAGGCCCCACTGAAATCATGCTCCATCCACCACCAGCCCTACTTCATCCCCTCCCCACACCACCTGACGCCGCCTCCTCCTTTCCCTTTGCATGCCCTGCCCCAGGCAGTGTGTGACTCTTCTTCTGTTTAGAGCTTAATTCTCAGCTTCCAGGTACACTTCTCTGTTTTTCTGTAATTCTGCTCCCCCACCCCACCCCAGGGAGGGGGTAATGTGTGTGTGTGTGGGCGGGGGATGGGGGAATAAAAGTTACCAGGTCACAACTTCTGTCTAGTATGTCCCAACTAGGAACAGTGAATCTTGAACTCCTGACCTGTATGCATCCAAGTCTGCCAGCTGCACACACAGCCCTCCCTGCCTCAGTATAACATAACATTATATTTACAATAAATGTGTGTATGTATATACATATTTTATTTTCCATTTTGCATACCAACCACAGTTCCCCCTTTCTCCCCTCCTCCTGCTCCCCTCACCCCCCCCCCCATCCATTCCTCAGAGAGGATAAGGCCTCCCATGGGGAGTCAACAAGGTTTGGAACATCAAATTGAGGCAGGCCGAAACCCCTCCCCACTGCATACTTTGTTCAGTCCCCAGACTGAACAAGGTATCCCACCATAGGGAGTGTGCTCCAAAAGGCCAGTTCAGGCACCAGGGATACATCCAAGTCAGGGGCCCCACAGGCAGACCAAGCCATGAAACTCTCACCCACATTTAGAGGGCCTGGTTCAGTGTCCTGCAGGTTCCCCAGCTGTCCATCCAGAGTCCGTGAGCTTCCCCTAGCTCAGGTCAGCTGTCTCTGTGGGTTTCCCCATCAGTCCTTGAAGTGGAAGTCTAGATTTACTGCAGAGATTGACAGCTTTATCTTGGACTCCAGAGTGCTGAGTCCCACTCTTTCCCAGAGCCAAGAAATGCCTCAGGTTAAGGTCCAGTCTCCAGAAGAAGCCACACCTTCTTTCGTCCCAGAGGAGACCAGACAATCTAGGCAAACTTCTTCACATGGTGCTCAAAGCTGGAGGTTCTTGGTTCCAACAGCAGGGCCAGGATTCTGAGCTCACACTTGGTCTTAGGAGACAATTCCTTTCATTCCACAGAGGGTCTCTCAGCTTGACTTTGGCTTTGAACAGGAACTCTGCCTTGCAGGACTGAGGTCCTGACCCTTAAAACCTATTCGGCTGCTTGCTGTGATACTGCAGGCAGAGAGGAGGTGCACCACAAACTCTTTCTGCCGGCTCAACAAATGGCTTCTGGGGTTCCTGGCATCTTCCCTTCTACTGATCTTGGGCCATTTGCTTCTACCATAGAATTCACTCCCCTCAGTACCCGAAGTGGATATCTAGTCACACCCCAGTTAGGACCTGTTTCCTATTCTTCACCTGTCCAGCCAGAAGCATGGCTGAGGGTTTGAGGGTTTTGAGGTAGCACTCATTTTTTTTATTAAGAGATTTTTTTTTATCACTCTTTTTGAATCTGGTCCTCCTGACTGTTCCTGGCTGTTGTCACCTTTGTACCCATTAAAGGCAAGCCTCCTGACTGTTTAAGGACATGGTATTTCACTCCCAACCTCCTTCAGGAGAAAAATCAGGGTTACCTCATCCTCATAGCTCTGCCTAGCCTAAAAACAGCTGTCAGTTCATTAAGTCTTTTGCTTTTAGTATAAATATCCATATCCATATATTTATATTAATCATATATATCTGTACATATTATTTCAATCCCGTGCTTGTGATTCAGTGATCACTTTCTCTCTCAATAAACCTAGATTGCCCTTTTCAGTCCCCAGTGTAGCTTCTTTTCTTTGGAGAAATCTCCCAGGTAGAAGTTTTTGTGGGCTACATTAGGTTTGGCATGTTTGGATTTCGAAAAACCCAGCAGCAGAGTAAGAATTTTAGGGAACAAAACTCTACTTTCTCTTCAAATCTGAGAATATTTTTTTCTCTGTATTTCTGTCACTCTCTTTTGGCCAATGCTCTCAGTAGGTTCAAGAGAAGCTATCTAATAGCATGTCTCTATTGTCTGAGGAATCCTGGGCATGATATTACATTTGGGTAGATGTTTGAATGATGTCTTGTTGAGTGTATATTTTCAGTAATAATTCATGCAAGGATAACATTTTTCTCCTATGTCATAAAAACATCAGGAAATGGACAACATAAGTCAGGGGTTCAAAATTAGGAGGTGGCCTGCAAACCACCATTTTTATATAATAAAAATGCCTGATAGACATGGCAGTTTATTCCTGTTAAGCCAGGAAAATGGAAAGTTCAGGTCAAGTCTAAACTATGTCAATGTCAGCTTCATTTGAGAACACCTGGTCTAGATCAAACTCCTAAAGAAAAAAATTAAAAATAAGTTAAATACAAAGAAGATTATGGAATTCAGAAAGGGCTAAAAACTCTTATCTATACCTTCATTTTTTTGTCAGCCTGATTTATTAAGGTTGCTTCTTAAACTTTTATTTTTAAAAATTTGGATGGCTCAGATAGATTTTTATAAGCCCTTTATCTTTTGAAACTGTCTGATATCGCATAAGTACACAATTCAGTCACCACCAAAGACATTCTATTTTTTCTATTTCCATACCTTATATTTAGTCAGATATTTTGGATCATATATTCAATCACTGCACTCATGAAGGAAAGATATGATGACTGCCGCATCATCTGCTGCATGGAGTGCCCTGGGACAGTCGGTAATGCAGTACGAAACTGTTTCTCTAAGATACACAAACGCATAAGAGGTCTTCACAATTATTTTGGTGATCTCGTTTATCTCCCTATATGTTACTACCAGTATTTTGAGATCAGAGGGTTTACTTGTTATGATGTTGTTACAGAAATAAAAAGAAAACTGAAGGGCTAGAGAGATAGCTCAGCAATTAAGAAGCGCTTGGTTGCTCTTGCAGAGGATCTGGGTTTAATTCTCAACAGTTTTAGGGGGATCTGAGGCCCTCTTCTGACCTCCATGGGCACTGCATGCATGTAGTGCACTTAAATACATGCAGGCAAAATACTCATACACACAAAAATAAAAATTAGAAAATATTTTAAGGAAACAAGATAGTTTATTCTGGATCCATTTTGAGTGTCCATGGCCTGATAACACTGATTTGGGTTACCTCAAATTCTATGTTCCATTGTGGAAGAAGTGTCATAAGTTTTTATAGTTTTACAGAATAAAGAAAGTGACAAATCAAGGCAAATTTAAAATGCATTGATGGGAACTTCAGAGAGTCAGATACAAGATGGGAGAAACTTTTCTATGGTCCCAAGACACTATCTGATGACATTCTTAGCATTGGTTTAGTGGAAGCTAGTGGTCTGTTAGTTAATAGATTTGAAAAGGTTTCTATCAGTCACAAGATGTTGGCTCAGACACAGACAGAGACAAGGAGAAATAAACTTGCCAACGATAAGGTAATTAGCCACTGGACCTGAAACATTCCACAGCAGTGAGATTTTAATCAGTTTATCAGTCTCCATAGACAATTTATTTTTGAGAATTAATCTTTCACAGCCAGACACAGCTTCTTTTCATTTATGATTCTCCCTGTAACTCAGGCATCACAATTTGTGCATGCAGGGACCACATAAAATATATTAAATAATATAAGGTCCCATGTAGCTAGGAAGGCTCATTCCTAGGATGTGATGTAGATGAGGCTGGGTAGTGGGCAGGATAGCAGTCTCCAGGAGAGAGGAATAGCTGGTATAGGCCATTAAGAAAGTCTCAGATCATATCAAAACCATTAGCCATTAATGTTACAGATCTGAATTATTTTTACATCCTCTGTATCTGACATAACATTTACATGTGACATAAAATTACTATACTTAAAATTAAGTAATCAAGAATGCAGTTTGGCCTAATAGAGTGAAAGTAACAGATGAAACCAACATCTAAAATGACCAAAATTTACACACATTTTAAAAAGATTGACTATATAGTTCTCCTTGTATTTACAGTTATTTGTATGCAATGAACTATCTTACTTATATTTAAATAGTTAGAAATGGGATTTTCAAAGGAATCACTGTACTATTGTCTTTTTATATTAAAATACAAAATTGTTTAACTTTTAAATCATGGTTAATTATACTATACAACATTTTAGATACTAATTACATCAAGAAACATCAGTATTGAAGATATTAAACATCATAAATGTTGTGGTTGTTAGACACTGATGTCTTTTGTATAATTTATATTATCTTATTTATAATGTATAAATAAGAATTAATCCAAATCTTTGAGTAACTCTAGGTAAAGTAAAAAATGTTAAAGTTTAATTTAAAAACTATATATTATTATCTAAATTATACTAAATCATGAGAAAATATATGCATATATTTATAAAGACAAATACTTGAATATTTCAAACATTAGTTTTGTATAAGGTAGGAGCTTAGGGTAAGCAAACTGTTATAACAAAAAGATATAATCAGATGAAACAATATATTTTCATTTGTAACTTCACTAAAATCAAGACTAGTATTATTTTATCATTTATAAATATACCAAGTAGAATATTGGATGTCATAAATATTTTTTTTAAATCTAGTTACAAAAATATTTAAGAAACATAAAAGGTGAGAAAAATGTTTAGGTACTCAGGGTTTTCAACTGTCAGTGGTGTTGAAGATGAGTATCATCCAACATTTTCAAAGTTCCCATGAACGTGCTCTTGGACAATGTAATAAAGTTTACCATCTCCTAAGAGTGAATAAGAAGTACTTGGAGATAGTCCTGATCTTAAATCAGAATGGAGTCTTTGATGTGATATCCCTTTTCCCTCTTTTAGTTGATGAGATCATC